CCTCTCTGTCACTCTCTTTCTCTGTCTCCACTTGACCTTTACGACCTCTCTGTCACTCTCTTTCTCTGTCTCCACTTGGCCTTTACTCTGTCACTCTCTTTCTCTGTCTCCACTTGGCCTTTACGACCTCTGTCACTCTCTTTCTCTGTCTCCACTTGACCTTTACGACCTCTCTGTCACTCTCTTTCTCTGTCTCCACTTGACCTTTACGACCTCTCTGTCACTCTCATTCTTTTAGATTCCCTCTCTCCATTCAGTCTTTCTACCTCTCCCAATAAGGTATGCCTGGAGCAAATAGCCAGTAGCCTGCCTTGTCTGAAATCAACGGGACAATCTATTTAGTTAATAAGAAACCAAGCACTCTCTCTCTCTCTCTTCTTCTTTCTCTCTCCCCCAATTTTCTCTCCCTCCTCCCACTGTCCATCCCTCCACCCCTCCTCCTCCTGTCCCTCTCCATCCCTCCATCCCTCCCCCTCTCCATCCCTCCTCCCACTGTCCATCCCTCCACCCCTCCTCCCCCTGTCCCTCTCCACCCCTCCACCCCTCCATCCCTCCTCCCCTCTCCATCCCTCCACCCCTCCATCCCTCCTCCCCTCTCCATCCTCCTCCCCCTGTCCCTCTCCATCCCTCCTCCCCTCTCCATCCCTCCACCCCCCTCCATCCCTCCCTCCCCTCTCCATCCCTCCTCCCCCTGTCCCTCTCCATCCCTCCTCCCCTCTCCATCCCTCCTCCCCCTGTCCCTCTCCATCCCTCCCTCCTCCCCCTGTCCCTCTCCCCCCCTCCCTCCCTCCTCTCCCTCCCCCTCTCCACCCCCTCCATCCCTCCTCCCCCCCTCCCCCTCTCCACCCATCCCTCCCCCCTCCCCCTTCCCTCCTCCCCTCTCTCCCCTCCCCCTCCCCCTCCCCTCTCCCCCCCTCCCACCCTCCTCTCCCTGTCCCTCTCCCTCCCTCCCTCCTCCCCTCTCCCATCCCTCCTCCCCCTCCTCCCCCTCCCCCTCTCCCCCCCTCCACCCCTCCTCTCCCCTGTTCCCTCTCCATCCCTCCCTCCTCCCCCTGTCCCTCCCTCAGAAGCATCATGAGTGTGTGACCAGTTGGGAGTTCTTGGTGTCTCTGAGGTCAGGGAAGCAGGGGGACTGCCCCCCTCCCCAGCGAGCCATGGGATTCGCTGCCGCCTGCGTGGAGAGCTGCTCCGCTGACAAACACTGCTCCACTTCCAAGAAGTGCTGCTCCAATGGCTGCGGACACACCTGCCAGGCTCCAGCCAATCTCTATAAAGGTACATCCCACTATATCCACATTATTTTTAATCAATAGATAGGGTGTGTGTGTGTGTGTTAAGACAGCATGTGTGTGTGTGTTAAGACAGAAGGGGTGTGTGTTAAGACAGCAGGTGTGTGTGTTAAGACAGAAGGGGTGTGTTTGTGTTTAGACAGAAGTGGTGTGTGTGTGTTAAGACAGAAGGGGTGTGTGTGTGTTAAGACAGCAGGGGTGTGTGTTAAGACAGAAGGGGTGTGTTTGTGTTTAGACAGAAGTGGTGTGTGTGTGTTAAGACAGAAGTGGTGTGTTTGTGTTTAGACAGAAGTGGTGTGTGTGTGTTAAGACAGAAGGGGTGTGTGTTAAGACAGAAGGGGTGTGTGTTTGTGTGTGTTAAGACAGAAGGGGTGTGTGTTAAGACAGAAGGGGTGGTGTGTGTTAAGACAGAAAGGGTGTGTGTTAAGACAGAAGGGGTGTGTTTGTGTTAAGACAGAAAGGGTGTGTGTTAAGACAGAAGGGGTGTGTTTGTGCTAAGACAGAAGGGGTGTGTGTTAAGACAAGAAGGCGTGTGTGTGTGTGTTAAGACAGCAGGTGTGTGTGTGTTAAGACAGAAGGGGTGTGTGTTAAGACAGAAGGGGTGTGTGTTAAGACAGAAGGGGTGTGTGTGTGTTAAGACAGAAAGGGTGTGTGTTAAGACAGAAGGGGTGTGTGTTAAGACAGAAGGGTTGTGTGTGTGTGTGTTAAGACAGCAGGGGTGTGTGTTAAGACAGAAGGGATGGGTGTTAAGACAGAAGGGTTGTGTGTGTGTGTTAAGACAGCAGGGGTGTGTGTTAAGACATAAGGGGTGTGTGTGTTAAGACATAAGGTGTGTGTGTGTGTGTTAAGACAGAAGGGGGGTGTGTGTGTGTTAAGACAGAAGGGGTGTGTGTTAAGACAGAAGGGGTGTGTGTTAAGACAAAGGGGGGTTGTTAAGACAGAAGGGGTGTGTGTGTGTTAAGACAGCAGGGTGTGTGTTTGTTAAGACAGAAGGGGTGTGTGTTAAGACAGAAGGGGTGTGTTCCTCATGGTCTCCTCACCTGTCCCATGCAGGGGTACCTCTGAAGCCCAGGAAGGACATGTCGTTCCTTGAGGACCAGCAGGGTCAACTGGAGGTCAGCTGGATGTCAAAATTCAATGTGACCATCGAGCCGGTCCTCCACATCCTGCAGCGCAGGTGGAACCACGGAATACACCCCAGCGAGGACGACGCCTCGCCCTGGCACACCGTCGTCATGGTAACAACCCCAACCTCCGACCCCAACAAAGTGCATGAAGTGAAGCCCAAACTGGGTCTTCCAAAGATATTCAGACACTTTTGGAACGGTTTGTGTCTATGTATTACTGAAAACCAAACTAATTTCAGCACTAAAGCCTTCATCAAGGTGCTAGACTGTCTAGCAGTTGAAACTGCTCTCTCACCACCCATGCCAGTCTATGGTGCTGCCAGCCTAAACTAGCATGTGTGTGTTTGTACGCCCACGTGTGTGTGCGTGTGTGTGTTTCTGTCTGTGTCTACAGTGTGTGTGTGTGTAGGCTGAGGTTAGATAAATAACCCAAGCTTTAGGAGGGACCACAGCCAGTCATGGTTTTTGCACGGTTGAGCCCTGTCTGACTAAAGGTCCTCATTATGGTATTAGATGGCTGTGTGGAGGCAGACTCCCATCAGCCTCAGTTACATCATGAGGCCTGGAAAACATGGAGGAACTTTACAAGGGAGATACTGCTGCATTGGAGGCATTCAACACACACAGTGTAGTTCAGAATAAGGAAAGCTGTCAGTGTCCATGCACTGAAAATAATTATCTCTGTACTCCAAACTCCATCAAATAGCATATTTATTTGACAAGTGATTCAACACACTCATGCTCATACAGACACTGCATGGAAGAGAGCTGTACTGGAGTCAGTGGAAGAGAGCAGTACTGGAGTCAGTGGAAGAGAGCAGCACTGGAGTCAGTGGAAGAGAGCTGTACTGGAGTCAGTGGAAGAGAGCTGTACTGGAGTCAGTGGAAGAGAGCTGTACTGGAGTCAATGGAAGAGAGCTGTACTGGAGTCAGTGGAAGAGAGCAGTACCTGAATCAGTGGAAGAGAGCTGTACTGGAGTCAGTGGGAGAGAGGTGTACTGGAGTCAGTGGAAGAGAGCTGTACTAGAGTCAGTGGAAGAGAGCTGTACTGGAGTCAGTGGAAGAGAGCAGTACTGGAGTCAGTGGAAGAGAGCAGTACTGGAGTCAGTGGAAGAGAGCAGTACTGGAGTCAGTGGAAGAGAGCAGTACTGGAGTCAGTGGAAGAGAGCTGTACTGGAGTCAGTGGAAGAGAGCTGTACTGGAGTCAGTGGAAGAGAGCAGTACTGGAGTCAGTGGAAGAGAGCAGTACTGGAGTCAGTGGAAGAGAGCTGTACTGGAGTCAGTGGAAGAGAGCTGTACTGGAGTCAGTGGAAGAGAGCAGTACTGGAGTCAGTGGAAGAGAGCAGTACTGGAGTCAGTGGAAGAGAGCAGTACTGGAGTCAGTGGAAGAGTGCTGTACTGGAGTCAGTGGAAGAGAGCTGTACTGGAGTCAGTGGAAGTAGGCAGTAGGCCTACTCTATGCTCTGCTCTGTAAAAGGATACTAACTGAAACACCAAACAGTAAAGCACAGGGAGAGATTCTATGACCATGTTACTCTGCAGTAATATTACTGGCTCTATTGTATAGAATTGAACTCTATTTCAACACCAAAACTCTGGTATAGGAAGGCTCTTCATTGCTTCGCTTTACAGCCTGACAGATCTGGAAAAAATCTCCTCCTCCATCTTTCCCATCCACCCCTCCCCTCTATCCTTCCATCCCTCCTTCCTTCCCCTCCATCCCTCCCCTCCATCCCTCCCTCCATCCCGCCATCCATCCCTCCTTCCTTCCCCTCCATCCCTCTCCTCCATCCCTCCCCTCCATCCCTCCTCTCTATCCCTCCCTCCATCCCTCCATCCATCCCTCCTTCCTTCCCCTCCATCCCTCCCCTCCATCCCTCCCTCCATCCCTCCATCCCTCTCCTCCATCCCTCCCTCCATCCCTCCATCCATCCCTCCTTCCTTCCCCTCCCTCCCTCTCCTCCATCCCTCCCTCCATCCCTCCATCCATCCCTCCCCTCCATCCCCTCCTCTCTATCCCTCCCTCCCCTCCATCCTTACCTCCCCTCTATCCCTCCCCTCCATCCATCCCTCCTTCCCTCCATCCATCCCCAGATTCAGTGCAGTTAAGTTCCAGGCCTCAGCCCTTTTCCCATACCCAGGCCTCGGGTCTGTCCATGGATCCCCACAGGGAGGCCCACAGGGAGGCCCACAGGGAGGCCCACATGGATCCCCACAGGGAGGCCCACAGCTCTAACACACAGCCAAACCAGCACTAATGACACATCACACTAATGTGATGAAGAATCAAGATGAACTCAACAATTCCATAATGATTCAGTGAATCACTCAGAGAAAATAACCGCTATAAGCCATGAATATGTTGTGTGTCACCAGCACCACTTGAAGAATTGAACAGTCTGGATCTCATCCATTGACTGATGGGAGGGGAAAGCCTATTTGTCAAGTAACTCAGTTACAGTCCAGGTCTAGCTGCAGGCAGAATGCCTGTCAACACTGCAGTCCTACAGAGATATCTCCCTCTCTTCATGGTCTAATGGGTTCTTATCTGACGTTGATGGAGATCTAATCCGGCATCCAGGGGCCTGTTCCAATACTTTATAAATGCATCATTCCTTCCCTGCTTTCACCTTTTCAATTGTGTTGGATCAGTGAAAGGCTTACTCCCAGGAAGGGAGTAAGGAAGGATGCATTTTAAATGTTTGAACTTGAACAGGATCTATATGGAATGATATTATCTGACCCCTGACCTCTAACCCCCCTGTAGACGATGGAGGACCGAGCGGTGCTGAAGGACATCCGTCCCCACAGGTGGTACCAGTTTAGGGTGAGCGCCGTCAACAGCCAGGGCACCCGTGGCTTCACCACCCCCAGCAAACACTTCTTCTCAACCAGAGGTAAGAGCACTACCCACCAGCCAAGGACACCGGCTCTCCTCTCTCTCTTCTCTCTCTCTCTCTCGTCTCTCTCTCCTCTCTCCTCTCTCTCCCTCTCTCTCTCTCTCTCTCTCTCTAATCCCTTTCTCCTCTCTCTCTCTCCTCTCTCCGCTCTGCTTCCTCTCTCTCTCTGTCTCTGGCTCTACTTCCTCGTCTCTCTGTCTCTCTCTGTCTCGCGGCCCTCCATCTTGGTCTTCTCTGGGTCTCTCTATGTCCGCCGTGGTCATCTTTCTCCTCTCGCTGTTTCCCATTCTTTCTCTTCTTTCGTCCTCCTCTTCTTACTCTCTTTCTCGCTCTCTGGCTTGGTGCAGGTGCCAGGCCGTCTGGGAGTCTCTGTCTCTCTCGTCTGCTCTCCAGATACTCTCCACTCCCTCTCTCTCTCTCTCTCTCTCTCTCTCAATCTATCAAGACTCTCTCTCGTCTCTCTCTCATCTCTCGTCCTCTCTCTCTCCTGTAGGTCTCTCTCTCTCTCTCTCCCTCCTCAGTTACCAGATAGGAGCTGTTACTGGGGTTATACAGCCTCCCAAGGTACCTTTCATCTGCTGGGCTTCCTGCACTGTGACCTCTGACCCCCTGGCATTCTTCCTGGCCCTGCTTTAATCAACATTTGATGAATATGGCTAACTGGGAGAATATATGGTGACACACAATACAGACAGGAGAAATAAGGAGGGCTCTGTCCCTGCTGAGAGGGTCTGTGTGTGGATATCTTTCAGAAAGACCCCCTGTGTACAGCAGTCAGGAACCGTCTCTGTGACTGACAGGGAAGTATAGATCTATGGGGAAACACAGTGTATTGTAATCTGAAAACACAATTATTTCACAATACCAGAGGAGCCTACTTATGAGGAGGGTAGAAAATAATGTATCTCTGTGTTTGGAGTTTGGATACTCAATACTTTAGTGACAATATAGCTCCCTCCATTCCTCAGTATGAGGTAGATTGGAGAAACACTCCAATAACAGCAGTGAAGACTTATTGGCCTTAAACCTAACATTACCCGGCCCTACTACACAGCAAGCTGCTGAGTGATGGACACGTCCGAATAGCACTAAGCCCCACCAGCCAAGGACACTGTCGGCCAGCCCAGCCAAGGACACTGTCGGCCAGCCCGGCCAAGGACACTGTCGGCCCACCAGCCAAGGACACTGCTGTCGGCCCACCAGCCAGACACTGCTGGCCCACCATCAGCCAATGACAACTGTCGGTCCCACCAACCAAGGACACTGTCGGCCACCAACAAGGACACTGTCGGCCACCAGCCAAGGACACTGCCGTCCCACCACCAAGGCACTGCCGCCACCATCCAAGGACCTGCCGGCCCACCCAGCCCACGAAACTGTCCGGCCCACCACCAAGTACACTGCGGCCCACCAGCCAAGGACACTTCCTGGCCCACAGCGCAGGACACTGCCGGCCCACCAGCCAGGACCACTGTCGCCAGCCAGCCAAGGACACTGTCGGCCAGCCCAGCCAAGGACACTGTCGGCCAGCCCAGCCAAGGACACTGTCGGCCCACCAGCCAAGGACACTGTCGGCCCACCAGCCAAGGACACTGTCGGCCCACCAACCAAGGACACTGTCGGCCCACCAGCCAAGGACACTGCCGGCCCACCAGCCAAGGACACTGCCGGCCCACCAGCCAAGGACACTGCCGGCCCACCAGCCAAGGACACTGCCGGCCCACCAGCCAAGGACACTGCCGGCCCACCAGCCAAGGACACTGTCGGCCCACCAACCAAGGACACTGTCGGCCAGCCCGGCCAAGGACACTGTCGGCCAGCCCGGCCAAGCACACTGTCGGCCAGCCCGGCCAAGCACACTGTCGGCCAGCCCGGCCAAGGACACTGTCGGCCAGCCCGGCCAAGGACACTGTCGGCCAGCCCGGCCAAGGACACTGTCGGCCAGCCCGGCCAAGGACACTGTCGGCCAGCCCGGCCAAGGACACTGTCGGCCAGCCCTGCCAAGCACACTGCCGGCCAGCCCAGCCCAGATAGCGTATTTTTCTTTTCGCCTCATGAACTCACACCAAACACGGGTAATTACTCACATAAAGGACTTTGAATGGAGCCATTACTGGCATTGGATTCCCATTACCTCAGTCTGCTAACCATTATATTTTGGGGCTCCTTCAGAGGGAGAGTGGGCGTGGATATAACACATGCCAATCAGCACACACACATACATACGTGCACACCCACATACACATTACACACACGCATGCAGACACACGAGTGTGCACGCACGCATGCACGCAACCTCACACACACACACACACACACACACAAACACACACAAACACCTCACAGCGGTCGGGCATTAGGAGCGCCCTGTCCTCCAAAACATCAAAGAGGAGATGGATTCCTCTCTGAATAAATACATTAAATAAAGTTGTTCCTGTCTGCTGACCTGGGCTGACATCTCATATTCTGTGCAGAGGACAGCCAAGAGGGACAGCCGACCTCCTCCTGGCTCGGAAACATTTGTTTACTGCAGCTGTGGAAAGGGTTTATTTCTGACAGAACAGAACATCTCTCTTTCCCTCTCTAGAACACGTATAACATCTAACAGGCAGTGCAGGCCAGATCACACAGAGACTGAGTATTGTGGGTGTGCGTGGGTGAGTGTGTGTGTGTGTGTGTGTGTGTACATTGTAACAGAATAACACTGGGATAAGCACTTTTAATAAATCATGGAAATCAGTCACAGTAGAGCTGTAACACTCATACTCTGTGACAAAGAGGTTAATCTTGACAAAACTTAGTGAAGAGAACTTGGTGAACAGAAAGAGTCTGTTGAATGATGGGTTGGCAGCGCACTACATTGCTGCCTGCCATAAGATGAGGGACAGTGTCTGACAGACCAACCAACCTGCACATGTCCTCTATATTGTTATTGATCAATGGTTATTTTGATCCTTGGTTATTGTTGTTACTGTTGTCCCATTGACAATATTGATTATTATTATTTTAATTATGTTAATAGTGTAAATATCCAAAGTAAGCTTTTGCAATATGGACAGTTGAAATCGGAAGTTTACATACACCTTATCCAAATACATTTAAACTCAGTTTTTCACAATTCCTGACATTTAATCCTAGTAAATATTCCCTGTCTTAGGTCAGTTAGGATCACCACTTTATTTTAAGAATTTGAAATGTCAGAAGAATAGTAGAGAGAATGATTTATTTCAGCTTTTAGTTCTTTCATCACATTCCCAGTGGGTCAGAAGTTTACATACACTCAATTAGTATTTGGTAGCATTGCCTTTACATTTTTTTACTTGGGTCAATCGTTTCGGGTAGCCTTCCACAAGCTTCCCACAATAAGTTGGGTGAATTTTGGCCCATTCCTCCTGACAGAGCTGGTGTAACTGAGTCAGGTTTGTAGGCCTCCTTGCTCGCACACACTTTTTCAGTTCTGCCCACACATTTTCTATAGGATTGAGGTCAAGGCTTTGTGATGGCCACTCCAATACCTTGACTTTGTTGTCCTTAAGCCATTTTGCCACAACTTTGGAAGTATGCTTGGGGTCATTGTCCATTTGGAAGACCCATTTGCGACCAAGCTTTAACTTCCTGACTGATGTCTTGAGATGTTGCTTCAATATATCCACATAATTTTCCTTCCTCATGATGCCATCTATTTTGTGAAGTACACCAGTCCCTCCTGCAGCAAAGCACCCCCACAGCATGATGCTGCCACCCCCGTGCTTCACGGTTGGGATGGTGTTCTTCGGCTTGCAAGCCACCCCCTTTTTCCTCCAAACATAACGATGGTCATTATGGCCAAACAGTTATATTTTTGTTTCATCAGACCAGATTTGTCCCCATGTGCAGTTTGCAAACCGTAGTCAGGCTTTTCTATGGCGGTTTTGGAGCAGTGGCTTCTTCCTTGCTGAGCGGCCTTTCAGGTTATGTCGATGTAGGACTCGTTTTACTGTGGATATAGATACTTTTGTACCTGTTTCCTCCAGCATCTTCACAAGGTCCTTTGCTGTTGTACACCAAAGTACGTCCATCTGAGCGGTATGATGGCTGCGTGGTCCCATGGTGTTTATACTTGCGTACTATTGTTTGTACAGATGAACGTGGTACCTTCAGGCGTTAGGAAATTGCTCCTAAGGATGAACCAGACTTGTGGAGGTATACAGTCTTGGCTGATGTCTTTTGATTTTCTCATGATGTCAAGAAAAGAGGCACTGAGTTTGAAGGTAGGCCATGAAATACATCCACAGGTACACCTCCAATTGACTCAAATGAATTCAATTTGCCTATCAGAAGCTTCTAAAGCCATGACATCATTTTCTGGAATTTTCCAAGCTGTTTAAAGGCACAGTCAACTTAGTGTATGTAAACTTCTGACCCACTGGAATTGTGATACAGTGAATTATAAGTGAAATAATCTGTCTGTAAACAATTGTTGGAAAAGTTACTTGTGTCATGCACAAAGTAAATGTCCTAACCGACTTGCCAAAACCATAGTTTGTTAACAAGACATTTGTGGAGTGGTTGAAAAACGAGTTTTAATGAGTCCAACCTAAGTGTATGTAAACTACCGACTCAAAACTGTACATTGTTACGTCATGCCAATAAAGCAAATTGAATTGAATTGAATTGAGAGATGGAGAGAGAGAGAGAGATGGAGAGAGAGACTGAGAGAGAAGGGGAGAGAGTTGGAGACTTCAATAGAGCTAGGAGACCAGGGCAGGGCTGAGAGAGAGAGAGAGAGAGGAGAGAGAGAGAGAGAGAGAGAGAGAGGAGAGAGAGAGAGAGAGAGAGAAGGAGATTGCGAGATGGAGAGAGCCCCCCCTAGATGAACTGGCCCCTTTGTTATGATTGTGCCCCTGAGCAGGCCTCACTTCAATAGAGCTGGGAGAACAGGGCAGGGCTGAGCAGGCCTCACTTCAATAGAGCTGGGAGACCAGGGCAGGGCTGAGCAGGCCTCACTTCAATAGAG